GAAGGGGGGGGGATCAAACAGTTGTATCCCTGACATGCTCCTGCCAAATCAAGCATGGGGATAACGGAGTAAACTGAAGATGGGAAACAATGAGGCTCTGGTCCTAGTGTGATTCAGTTTTGACCTGGGCACTTGTGCGGAGACTGAATACATTCAGTGTGGGGAGGGTAACTTACTGTCACAGTTACTGTGTCAATTCAGGTCACAAGTAAAGTCAACTTCAGTAGGATGTATTACTTCAGATTTCACTCTTCACGTTTTTAAATATGCAAAAGAAACTGTAAAAAAAGAGAAGCCCCTCACATATGCAGAGGCATACTTACTAGAGAGCTGTTTCTGGAGTTGTCTGACTAAAGCAGCTGTCTGCTGTTGCTGCTGAGTCTGCTGCAAGCCTTGCCTTGGAAACTGCAACAGTAACACCAAAATAATGAGATGCACATACAGCCCTTGAGGCATCAAAGTCTTATTAAAGGATGCTAAGACAGCCAGAAAGCACTGGGTCACTCCTACTGGGCTGCGGAAGCCCTGGTGGAGGGCAGCAAGTTGGGGAGCCCGAGTCTGCAGTGAGGAGCCCATGCCCATCCCTGTCCCTGCATACAGATGGGGGGCATGGGTCCCCCCCATTCCCCTGGGAGTGTGCGCAGTGGCAGGGAGCCAGCGCCACCTCCTGCCCCACCGGACAAGTTACCTCGGGAGCCTCCAAGGTGTTTTAATTCAAAAGCGCACCACTGCCATTTTCTCAGTGGTGACTCACATTTCACTGCTTATACAACTGCATGCGTTGTAGTGCCGGGCACCTTCCAAAGCGCCTGGCACTGCAACATATACATATATAAAAATGCCCTATAGGAACTTGCAGTCATAGAGGCTCTAATTGCCTAGAGAGAGTAATAATTTTGGATCATTTGTTTATGTATTTTTCTTGCACATTTCAGAGGTGAAAATGAAGTTGCCTTATCCCAGTCTAAGGAGAAACAGAAACTTCTTTTTAGTGTTTGTATGCATTAATTGTAATGATAATGAAACCTTCTGAACCCCTAAAAACTGCATATGAAACAGGTGAAAACAAATAAATGGAGAGAAAGATTTTTGGAGATCCCTGAGCCAAAACATGACAAGTTTTGGTCATGAATGTCAGAAATGTCTAGAAGAAAGAAGGTTAAAGTTCATGTCATGTTTTTCTCTCTCACTGGAACCTTCTAAATTTCACACTAGTGTAAGATATCACGTGTCCAGCCAGACACAAGAGGTAAATTCATTCTGCCATAAACAGACCATCTATCTTTTCCACCTTTGCTGGGGCTGGCATTCATCCTGAAACATACTTGAAAGTGTTTTTTACCATCTGCCTTGTTCAAAGTTGCTATGTTCAAAAGCCAACAGGTTTGTTATCAATTGTCAATAACAACTGTGTTTTCATCAGAAGTATTGATTAAACAAATTATCAGCTAACAGGGGTGGAGAGGGAGAATAGCATTCTTTCCTGTACATCCCCACTTTAAATAAAAGGAAGCATAATACACAAAATACCCAATTCTTAGCCACTGAGCTGCTGCACATATTTTAAAAGGCTATATATTATGCCCCTAGTTGTCTTTGGCTTTTATGGAAATTGAGGATGTTCAACACCAGGCAGAACCATTTTAAAAAGTTGGTCTCCATCTCACTCCAGTCCCATCTCACTAATGTCATTGAGAATGAAGTGCAAACCCTGTCAAGTATATGGAATCTGACCAGTGTAAAACTAGTGGGATGCCAGAATAAAAAGGGGAAAACGCACAACAAATCCAATATTAGACCACTAAATCCTGCTTTGGCATCCCATCAAGGTTTTCCTTCCAACTTAAGAGAAGTAGCTCTACATTATATTGGTGTTGCAACAGAATTTGGCCTTACATTTGCTTTTCCAACAGCAAGCATTGTTTCCCTAGCAGTTCTAACTAGGCAGTTTGGTTTTCAACTGAAAAAAAAAGTACAGGATCCACATCACTATTTTGCATGCCTCTGGCTGCATTTCTAAAGGAAGCTGTTCTCCATTAATAGCCCTTTGCTGCAAGTCACTAATCAATAAGTCATAAATACATGTTTGAATCAAGCAACCAAAGTGACAAGTAAAGCAGGTACCCCAAATCAAAGTTATTCTTTTACACAACTAAAAGCAACTTGACATGGTAAATAATACAATGGAAGATGCTGAGTAAAAATAAACTGTGTATGTGAACTTTGTCAGCACCTGCCTTCGATTTTAAACATTCATTTTTGGCATTAGGAAGTTAGTTACACTGGTTTCTGCCTCATGCTAACCTCTTTTTAAAAGTGATCCTTTCCTTTCAATTTCCCAAAGATCTGGTCCAAAGAGATCACACAAGGAGATCTTGAATATAATTGTATTACCAGGCCCTCAGCTTGGGGGGGGAAAAAAAAAACTTGTCTATTCACTGAAAAGAGTTCTCTCTCTCAATTATGTCATTATGGAATTATCTCAAAGTTTCATTGCAAAATGCATCTCCTCAGCCATCAGGGGAAGCAAAACAAGAAAACTAGCAGAACAAAAGTCAACTGGAATTTTTAAATCAGATTTAAATGTGGCTGTCATCACTGCAGGATGGTGGGGGGCAGGGAAGAGGAAGGAGGAAGCAATACAATACAGTGTGCTTTGGCTACCTGGGAAATTCCACTGACATACATCAGTATAACTGTTGCCAGAATTTGGCTGCCCCCCTTTCACAGCTCAGCCTTACAAGCCACTGAGCACTTTGGGCCCATGCTTGAAATGTGCACAGTCAGGATATGGTGAAATACAGTGTAGAGTTCAGGTCTGAATGTACAGCATCTTTCTGAATTGAGCCCTGTAAGTTCTAAGGAGACAATAACAAGAGCTAAAACAGCTCTTAAAATGCATGTGTATTTCAAGACGTAAGTTCTCTAGTAAGACACAGTACAGCATAAGCTTCCATCATGCTGTCTTTTTCCTGCACCTAGAAGCCTCCTTAGTGTTTACTTGACTCCTCATTATTATTTTCAGAACTGCACTATACAATCAAATTATTTTTCCACTAATTTATCATATTAGCCATCATTGTTAATGTTAAATACATAACAAAGTACATTACACAGTTCTTCTGGAAGAATTCCTAATGCCCACCCAGCCTGTCTCTCACCCATTGACTCCTCAATTTACATTTTCACTGACTACCTGTCTTGTATGCATACCAGCCCAACCTCTGGCTTCTTTACTTTTCATTCCATCCAGGAAGAGCACACACCAACTGCTGTAACTTCCTTAGTCTGATCAAGGGTTTTTGAACCCGAAAGCTTGCTTAAAAATTGTTCTCCAACTATTTAGTTGGTCCAATAAAAGATATCAGATTCATCCAAAGAACCTTGTCTGCCTAATGCTGAAACAATGCATTTGTTCTTTTAATATATCAAATTCAAAGTAACAACATATATCCTTTCACCCGTTTTATTTTATAACATTGGTTAGTCTAATTTTAGAAGTCCAAAGCAAAGGGCCTTCAAAAACTTCTCAGGTTCTAAGACATTTTCCTGTCAAAGATTTTGTCCAGGTGGCAAACAGCATAAACAAGAGGCAGACAATACAGTCTGAACATACCACAGATCAGGTGATAGTTCAATCTTGACACAGTAAAAATACTTTTGGTGTAAATACTAGGCAAAAGAAGTATTCTATCAGGACTGAGATCCTCACCCTTCCCCTGTAATTTTTACAGGCAAATAAAAAACAAAAGAAACTGTTAAAAGTTTCACCTTCCTACCACCAGACACAGAGGCAAACAGATAATGCTATGCTTAGATCAAATTAAAGCACAAGAAATCCTTTATAATGACTTGAGTTTCTAAAAATTACTGTGACCTTTCTGTAAAAGCTTCAAAGATTTTTGTTTTGTTTTGTTTTGTTTTGTTTTGTTTTGTTTGCTTTCTGATCTAAATTTAATTCAGGAACCTCTTGGGCTAAAAGGAGACAAAAAGACATTTTTCTCTTCCTTCTCAAAAGCATTTTTCAGCCACTCTGGAGACCCTTTTTGGAGTCACTGTTTTCTGCTCTTACCTCCCAACCATCTAATAGACCATAGCTCACAGTTCCAAGAGGTGCCATTCTGGCAATCTTTGGTTTCTCTTCCAAGCCCACCAAAATACTTGTGACCTACCACCAAAGTTCTGCCCAGAATCTTGAACATGACAACCATGCCCCAAGAGAAGCAGTTAGCCATGTTAGTCTGAAGTCAGGTAGAAGGCAAAGCAGGATAACACCTTTATCTCTTAGAGGTGCCACCAAGAGGAGGAAAAACTACTCCCACTTGGCATAATTCACGGCAGAAGAGGAAAGGATATTGTTAACATTACAAAAATGTAGCAACTCTTCTTACAAGACTTACTGTCAGCATTTTTCATCACTCGTTTCCTTATCCGAGCTCATTACTTCCTCTTTTTTGATTATATTTGCTAAAACTATGCGTGCTTGTCTAGTTCAATATCCTTATAGACTCATACTATATGCAGACAGATACAGGTATAGATATAGATACTAGGGCTGTGCGAAATGGCAGCATTTCATTTTGACATTTCAATGGAACAGCATTCAGCTTTAAATTTTGTTTCAATTTGAAACAGCTGTTCCATTCCATCGAAACAGGGTCGAAAAGACGAAACTGTTTTGACGCTTCGCCCATTGGATATAATTGGGAAGGTCAAAACAGCCTATAACTTTGTCACTTCTGGCCTGATTTGGATGAAACTTGCAGGAATAGTAGCCCCTTCTGAGGGCATGAAGCCTGCCATGTTTCAAGGAGATAGGTGAAGGGGGTTCGGGGAAACTGCATCCCAAAGTCTTGAAAGCAAAACTCATGTCACATGTATGCGTTAAGCCACAGTGGGGTCAAAAGTGCAGGCATGCTATCCCCTGCTGAGGCCACAAAGCCTGCTAAGATTCAAGGAGATAGGTGCAGGGGTTTGGGGGAAACTGTACCTCAAGCTGCAGACAAGCAAAGCTCGTGACATGGGTGACACTGTGTGTGTAAAGGCACAGCAGGGTGACAAGCGCAGGCCTGCTAGCCCTTGCCAAGGCCACAAAGCCTGCCAGCTGTCAAGGAGATTGGTGCAGGAGGAGTCTGGGGCCCTGCACCCCTAGCTGCTGACAGGCAAAACTCATGTCATGGGTGCTTGTGGGACTGTGTCCATCTTGGGGCATGCAGGAGGGTGGAGAAACTACTGCAGGCCTGGCTGCTAGGTCCTGCTGTGGCCACAAAGCCTGCCAGCTGTCAAGGAGATAGGTGCAGGGGGGTTCTGGGGCTCTGCACCCCTAGCTGCTGAGAGGTAAAACTCATGACATGCCTCTCATCAGGCAGCAGGACTAAAGATCCCCCACCACTTGCCACCACAGA